ACACAGCAATGTTGGGTCCCATCCTTCTTCTGGAATAACATGATGGGAATATCTGATTTCTCGACTATCCTTCCTTAATTAGGCTATCCATGACCTTCTCTATCTCTTGTTGCTTTGCCAGAGCTATTCTCCTTGGAAGGATCTTTATTGTACAGTGATTGCCTGTGTTTATTCTGTGCTCCACGAGGTCTGTGCATCCAAGGTAATGATCTCCTTTTGAAAAGACATCTGCATAATTCGCCAAATGTTCCCTAACCTGAAGAGCCTGTGATGATAACAAATGGACTATGCTCTTCTTATAGAAGTCAGTTAAATGTTCTGGGAGAGGTTGTCCTTTCTTTATGGTTGTATTTTTGCCTTAACTTTGACTGGCTCTACCTCCTGGCACACACCCAACAATGCCCCCTCCTTAAGTATCTGTTCACATTTAGAGAAATTAACCACTGTTATGGGTACTATTTGGTGACCTGCCCCAAGTGACCTTCCAATTTTCATGTCTGCTGGCCTGGATGGGTCTTCCACTGCTCCCACAAGCATCGGGCTTCCTTGGGGATGTTCTTATATTCTACCCCAAATTATCTTCTCTGACATAGGGGGTATTGTAGTTGACTTAAGTGCTGTGACATGCAAATCAACAGATGCAGCAACACCTACTGGAATTTGGCCTTTGTTGTTCCCAAACGTCATTTTATCAAAGTTAACTACACATTTCCTCAGTAGTAAGTAGTCCAACCCTAATATGCATGGGTCTTCAATGTCAGCCATATGTACTTCGTGTATGTTTTTTATGCCCATGAGATCAATAGTTACCCACACTGGTCCCCACAACCTTACACAATGTCTTCTCGCATCACAGAGCTTCTGGTACTCCTTCGTGATCTAGCTCCTTTATACTCACAAGGGTTTGCTGAGATGCAGTATCTATGACAAAATTGCACTTTTAGCCATCCAGCTTTCCTGTCATATAGACACTATGTGTGCTTGCCATTTTACACTTAGCTGTTGGGACTTTCACAATGGGGGTTAGTGGGCGTCCCTCAACACCAACCACTACTGGTTTCCCGAAGCTGACTTATTGGTAGTATTATTATTACACTGGCTCCTCATATGTCCTTGCTCTCCACAATTCCAACAACCTTTCTGGGTAGCAGCCTTTCCTGCTGTGGCATCTTCCCTGTGTTGAAGTTGCCAGCATTGAGCTCTCTTGTGCCCAGGTTTATTACAGTGCCAGCAAAGTCCCTCAAACTTCTCTGAAAGCTGCCCTCTTCTGGCCTTTAATCCTGATGACTGTACCAACCTTGGTACTTCTGCGCTGGACTTAACGTAGAATTCAAATTCAAGAGTTCTGGCCATTGCATCTTGTATAGTAGAGGGGTGTACTTGCTTCAC